CTTGGTTGTGGCATAGAAGATTAGGACATGCTAGCATGAGTGTTATCTCTAAGTTATTAAAGCATGATCTTGTTGATGGCTTGCCTAAGGTGAATGTAAATATTGATAGTGTGTGTGATGCATGCATGAAGGGTAAGCAAACTAGAGTTTCCTTTAAGACTACGAAGTGCACCTCTACAAATAGACCTCTTGAGTTACTTCATATGGATTTGTTTGGACCTATGCGCACTCTAAGCATTGGAGCAAAATCATATGTGCTTGTTGTAGTTGATGACTATTCTAGATTTACATGGGTTGCTTTTCTTACACATAAAAATGATGCACTTGATACTTTCAAATGTCTTTATAAAAAGCTTCAAAATGAGAAAAGTTTAACTATTGTTTCTATTAGAAGTGATCATGGGGGAGAATTTGAAAATAATGACTTTGAAGATTTTTGCATTGAACATGGTATTTATCATAATTTTTCAGCCCCTAGAACTCCTCAACAAAATGGGGTGGTTGAACGGAAAAATCGTACTTTTGAGGAAATGGCAAGGACTATGATTTGTGAGAATGATTTGCCAAAATCCTTTTGGGCTGAAGCCATTGCAACCTCTTGTTATTTGTTGAATAGAGTTATGGTGAGGCCTATTCTTAATAAAAACCCCTATGAAATTTACAAAGGAAGAAAACCTAAGATTTCCTACTTTAGAGCTTTTGGTTGTAAATGCTTTGTCTTGAACAATGGAAAGGACTCTCTTGGAAAATTTGATTCTAAAAGTGAAGAAGGCATCTTTGTTGGATACTCTACTTCTAGTAAAGCTTACCATATGTATAATAAACATACTAAAGTTGTTGAGGAATCTATTCATGTGGTATTTGATGAGACTAACCCTATTTGCTCTAGAAAGTCTTGTAATGATGATGATGTAGATGCCATTGGAAAACAAATTAAAGATATAAATCTCAAGGAGGACAACACCAAGGAAGCTCAAGATGAGAAAAATGAGGAGGACAAACATGAAGAAGTGCAACAAACACATGAGCTAAGAGAACCAACTTTCCCAAGAGAAAGATCCTATGTCAAAGGTAATGAAATTCTTGGGGATCCATCAAAAGGAGTAATTACTAGATCTCATGCTCATAATACTTGTGCTTTCATTGCCTTTATATCTCAAATTGAACCAAATAATCTTGATGATAGTTTAAATGATCCTAATTGGGTGATGGCTATGCAAGAAGAATTAGCTCAATTTGAAAGAAATAAGGTTTGGAATCTTATTTCTAGACCTAAAGACCATCCCATCATAGGAACTAAATGGGTTTTTAGAAACAAGTTAGATGAGAATGGAATTGTGGTTAGAAACAAGGCAAGACTAGTTGCTAAAGGCTATTGTCAAGAGGAAAGAATTGATTTTGATGAGACTTTTGCCTCAATAGCTAGACTTGAAGCAATTAGAATGTTATTGGCTTTTTCATGCTTTAAAGGTTTTACACTTTATCAAATGGATGTTAAAAGTGCTTTTCTAAATGGTTATATTCAAGAAGAGGTTTATGTTGAGCAACCTCCCGATTTTGAAGATCCATCTTATCCAAACCATGCTTATAAACTTTCAAAGGCTTTATATAGCTTAAAACAAGCTCCTAGAGCTTGGTATGAAAGATTAAGTAGTTTTTTTCTTGCAAATGGTTTTTTTAGAGGAAGAGTTAATACCACCTTGTTTGTAAAAAACAAAGGCCAAGTTATACTAATTGTCCAAATCTATGTTGATGATATTGTGTTTGGTGCTACTAATGATTTTCTTTGTCAAGAGTTTTCCAAAGCTATGCAAGGTGAATTTGAAATGAGCATGATGGGTGAGCTCAACTTCTTCTTGGGACTTCAAATCAAACAATCCAAAGAAGGCATCTTCATCAACCAAAGCAAGTATCCAAAGGAAATGCTTAAGAAGTTTGGCATGGAGACTTGTAAGCCAATAGCTACTCCTATGAGCACTTCAATTAATCTAGACAAGGGTGAAGGAGGTAAGCCTATTGATCCCAAACTTTATAGAAGCATGATTGGTTCCTTGCTTTATTTAACCGCAAGTAGACCGGATATAATGTTTAGTGTTTGTTTGTGTGCTAGATTTCAAGCTTGTCCTAAGGAGTCACA